GACCTCAGAGACAATGGAGTTCCACCCTCTCATTTTAGAGTCAATCAGACAGTTAACGAGCACTCATTAGCACTTACTGTGCCAGGCACCCCTGCGGAGAGCTAGGGACACAAAAAAACAAAAACAAAAACTGACCTCAAGGAACTCGCACTCTAATGAGAGAGACAACATCCAAACAATTGTATATCCTAGATCTACACCGATGGGGAAACTGGGACTCAGCAAGCTATGGGATCATAGCTTCAAGACTGGAAGAGACCTCAGGAAAAAAATCCAATCCCCCCTATTTACAGATGAGGAAACTGAGGCCCAGAGAGGTGTCATGCAGGTAGAAAACATCAAAGTTGGACTTTGAACCCAGGCCCTCTCAGACAAGTCCATCCCCCTTTCTCAGCCTCAGTTTCCTCATCTGTAAGTTGCTGGGTTTGGCCTGCATTGCTCTTTGAAGTGCCTATAGCTCTCCACTCCCTCTCCCCATCCTGGAGGCTGCTCAGGTCAGTCAGGGTCAGAGCCAGGATTCAAACCCAGGTCCCTGGGTCCGAAGCTCAGGTTCCTTTCCCTGTAGCACTCCCTGGACCATATTGGGGAATTGGGGGAGGGAGGTTAGCCACCAACAACAAGACACACCAGAGTCACCAGTCACCCTCCCCCTTCCAACTCTCCCAGGGAGAGAAAGGAACCCCAAGCATTTACCCTCCCCCCAGAAGTGTCTCAAAACTCCACTTACCTTCCATGTGACCTTGGGCAAGTCACTTAACTCTTCTGGGCCTCAGTTCCCTCACCAGTGAAAGAAGGGAGTTGGACTATGACCTCCTCCTCCAATCCCCACCCCTTTATGTCACCTGGAGCCGGTCTTCTCCCACTGCACCCTATGGACAGCTGCCTTCAGGGTGGGGGGCCTCCAGCCACCCACAAGTGTGGTTCAGAACACCCCCTGCAGGGAGGCTCTGGGGGAGGAGAAGGGGGAGGGGGATCCTCTGGCAGGGGGAAGCTCTATTGGTGACCCAAGAAGTGGTCCTGACCTACTGGGGCTTGGGACCAGGCTGGCATTGGAGGGCTCTGCCGTTGAGTTTTTGTTTAAAAGGAAGGAGTTGAGCCTCCAGCAGCATGGGGACCAGTCAATCAGTATGCATTGATTAAGCACCCATGCACGCAATGAGAACTGGTTCTGTCACCAGCTCACTAATGGGTGAAAATGTGGACACGTCCCTTCTCTCATCTTGGTCTCAGTTCCCCTCACCTGAAAAATGAAGGAGAAAAGCCTGAAGCCTCTGCCTGGGGGGCCTAGTCATTCCAGAATCAGCTGCATGGTGCAATGTGTAGAGTCAGGAAGACCTGAGTTCAAATCCAGTCTCAGCTACTTAATGGCTGTGTGAACCTGGGCAAGTCACTCAGTTTGCCCCAGTTTCCTCATCTGTGAAATGGGGACAATAATAGTCCCAATACTTCCCAAGGCTGTAGTGTGAATTAAATGAGATGATATTTGTAAAGTACTTTGCAAACCTCAAAGCACTCTATAAATGCATTGGAAGGAATCCCAGAGGCCACTGAGGCCAACCCAGACCCAGTTCTATCTTGAATCCCCACTACTGTTACGCTTTAATATCCGCAGCACAGTGTTTGGCACCTGGCACTTAGTAAATGCTTTTCTCATTTGTTTTTATCAAATAAGTGAAATCCAATTCAATTTCACAAGGATATTTCTTGATGGGGGACAGGGGAGAAGAACAGATTGATTCAGCAAGAAGGGCTCTGAGAAGCCATCCCATCTAACCCCCTCCTTTTCCAGAGGAGGAAACTGAAGCCGAGTCACTGGAAAATGAACTCAGGACTGGTGAGCCCACGTTCAGCCCTTCAAGGTCAGCGACGGGATTTGAACCAGGGCGTCTGGCTCCCAATCTGGCTCCAGGACCTTTCTGCCGAGCCCTCCCGTCACCCAGAACTCTCTCCAGCCCTCCCATGTCCCAACAGGTGACATTCTGCCCCCACCCCCCCGCACCAAAGCTACTCCTCTCCTAATTCCTGGCACTCTGCTCCAGCCATTTCCCTTCCTGTCTGCTTCCCCTGCTCCACAATAACCCAGATGCATTTTGCACCCTCTAACCATGATACTGTAATGACACTCACGCCCCCAAACCTTTGGAAACCCAGAGCCAGGACATGACGTGCCAATCTCCCCACCCCCGATGCCCAGAATAAGCCCAGCAACACAGAAGTCAGTACCAAGTCCTTTCTCCCTGCTCTGAAGGAGCCATAAGATTCATGATGAAAAGTACCCCCCACACACACACACTCAGTTCTCCAATATTGAGACCACAACTAAGTCCTTATGAGAGCAAGCAAGGCAGGGCCAAGAAGGTGAGATCTCAAAGAAATTTCCCCAGGGCTAGTAGATGGCAGCTCTCTCCTCCCTAACTAATCCTCCTCCTCTGAACATCCCTGTTTGAAAACTGAAGGTAAGTAGGACCAAGGAGGCAGGAGAAGATGGGTACCCTGGCCAGCGTGTCAGGGAAGGGATGGAGAGGTGGGGAAGGTGGGAGGATGGGAGGATGGGAGCAAGGCCCACTTGCCTGGACAAGCCTGTGCTGCTTGGACCCTGCCCTCCTGGGACCAGCTATCTGAAATGGGAGGGTGGCCACAAGCAGGACGGACCCCTGCAGCAGGTACCTGAGTCAGCGTCTCTATCTCTATCTTCAGTCCCAGAAGGCTAGGGAGGTGCGAGGGCGGGGACTGCATGTTGGGCCCTGGACCAGGAAAAGGAGAGGATGGAAGGCAGAAGGTGGGGAAAGGACTCCACCCCCACCTGCTCCTCTGGCCCCAGACCGAGCAGGCTCAGCCTTCCCGCTATGCCTGCTGCAATGCAGAGCCCACAGTGAATGTGAGTGAGTGCCTGCCTGGGGCCCAGAGGAGGAGGAGGGGGGGAGGCAAAGGCCCAGCCCACCCCCTCCAAGCCTCCTGGGTTATATCCAGGGATCACAGGACCATCTCCCTGTGGCCAATATGAGGAGGGCCTTCTCTTGCCCCCTTAGGCTGCAATCATTCTTTGGAAAGGAGAATGAAGACAGGACCTTTCCTCTATCCTTCAGGGCAAGGGAATGCTTCTGAGCCACAGGAAGGAAGCAGAAAGGGTACGTAAGGAGGCCACTCTGGCCAAAGACCTGGAACTTGGACCACCTGGGGGCTGGCCTGGCTTTCAGGTTCTAAAGATCCTTAACCTTTATTTGTGTCCTGGACCCTTTGGGTAGTCAGTCTGGTAAAGCCCAGGAACTCCTCAGCATGTTTTTAAATGCACAAAATAAAATACACAGGATTACAAAGCAAATTGATTATACTGAAATATAAACCAAAACCAACCGTTCATGGGACCCCACGTTAAGAATTCTTGTCTAGGAGCAAAAAGGTCTGTCTCATTGAGAGAAAGCTGAAAGGGCCTCAGAGAGTCTACCCCTCTCATTTTACAGATGAGTAAACTGAGGTACAGAGAGTTTGTGCCTTGCCTAGGCTCACACAACTGGAGTCTAAGGCAGGATTTGAAACCAGGTTTTATTAACTCTAAGACCTGGCGTGCTATTCACATCTGCCTTTTTGAGTTTAAATTCCTCATTTTACAGAGAAGGAAACTGAGGCCCCCAAAAGGCTTCAGGTTACTTGGTTAAGGCCAAGGCCAGGAAAGGAACCCAGGTCTCATTCCCAGCCAATACTCTTTTTTTTTTTTTTTTACTACACTATTCAGTCCTATTAGGATCACCTCCAAGTTTGAAACTGAGTCTGCCTGACAGAGGTCAGGTTACGTACAGCTCCCAGGAGAGCAAAGACACGTTTAAAAAAAAAAAAGAGCATGGAGGTCTGGTGGTGACTGGCTGGCCCCAAAAGGCTGTATTTAGACTAAGTGATGTCCTTTGCAGATCCATGCCCCCATCCTGGGTGCCCCCTACACACACACCCACAGCCCTGCCTTCTCTCCCCCTCCTGTGCCTGCTCTGACAGCACACTCCCAATGAGAACTTCGAGTCATGGCCAGGATGAAATCACTCTTTGCAGACCTGGGGAGTTACAGGGTGATGGGCATGCCAGGGTGGAGGAGAGGACTGCAGTACCTGGCCAAGGCATATCCTCTAAAGGGTAAGCCCAATGCCCAGGATGTGACCACAGGCCTGCACTCCAGGGTAGAGGCGAAAGCTGGCCCCACTCCACTCCCTCGGCCAGCCCCAAAATGCTTCCCATCTTTGCCTCACTCTTGGTTAAGGGCGAGGAAGAGAGAAAAATGAGAGATAACAACAATAAAATAAGAAGTTGGAGTTTACTTGGCACAAGATTGATAGCACTAGAGAAGAGACACCCCAATCTCTTTGGAATACCCCTAGATCTTGAGAGGGAGATGTAGCAACCTCTTGGAACGTGAGTTGAAAGCACACGTGTGACATATGTATTGGCTCATTTGATCCTTACAATAGCCCTGTGAGGTAGGGACCATAATATCACACAGCTAGTAAGCGGGGGAGGATTTGAACTCAGTTCTTGCTGGCTCCAAGGTGAGCACTCTCCGCCACACTGTGTGACCTTGGGACAGCTGTTAGCTTTCTGCAGACCTCATCTTCCTTATATGTTACAGGATGGGGTTGGGCTAGACGGTCTCTGAGACCAAATAGGGAGAGCTGGGCGAAGGTCCTTTTGCTAGGAGCCTTCTGGGATCAGACTTGTTCTTCTGGGCCCTGGAGGGCGTGGCCAGCATCAATGGATAGAAGTGGTTAAGAGCTCCATGGAGCTTTCACATCCGGAAGAACTTTGCCATAATTAGAGTAGCCCCAAGCTGGAAGGGGCCATCTCAGGAGGCGGTGGGGTTCCCCTCTTTGGAAGTCTTCTGGGAGAGCCTCGGTGACTCCTGTCTGATAGAGGAGTGAGGGTTCTCTTCTCATAGGAGCTAGACCAGACAGTCACCTAGTCTCTTCCAGCTCTCACATTCTGGGCTTCTGTTTGCACTTCCCACTGCGAGTCTAGAATGCTTGGGTCTAGAATGCAGTAACTCAGAACCCTTCCTCTTCCTTCAGATGAATGCTGATTGCCTGACTCAACCTTGCCTTCGATACTTCTTAGATGTGCGACCCTCACCTTAATCTCTTTCAGCCTTGGTTCATAAAATGGAGGAAAAAAAAATTGCACCTACTTCACGGTTCTTATGAGGACCCAGTAAGATTGTTTATGTGAAGCCCTTTGCAAACCTCCAGGTGCTATAGAAGTGGTAGCTATAATTACTGATGATTAAGTCAAGCCCCAGTTCAGCTGCTGCTGCTTCTGTTAAGTTTTCCCTGATCTAAGCACTAGACTTGGAGTCGGGAAGACCTGGGTTCAAATCTTACCTTGGACACTTACTAGCTGTGTGACCCTGCTCTCCTATAAAATGAAGGGGCTGGATTCAATGACCTCTAAGGTCTGTCCCTGCTCTACATTTATGATTCTTTGATCTCAATTTTTTTTCCCCCAAGAACATCTTGGCTACCCCTTTGCCCCATCACACCCTATCTTCTAATATATTTATCTGGGTATATTTTCAATCTCCCCACCTCTCCTCCTCTATCAATAGAAGGTAAGCTCCCTAAGGACAGGGATTGTTCTGTTTTTGTTTTTTAATTAATTCCCCATTGCCTGCCTGGCACACAGTAAGCACTACATAACTGTTAGCTATTGTTGTTATTCCTTAAAAGGATCAGAAGGCCGAGATATTCTGAACAACCTGACTAAATATCCCAGGTTGCCCCTCTGTGCCTCGGTTTGGTATTTTTCATTTAAATTAATCCCAACATGAATTTATTAAGCACATCCTATGTGCCAGGTACTGTGTAAGGCCCCAAGATACAAAGACAAAAAGGAATCGGTCTCTGTCCTCCAGTAGCTTATATTCCACTGGGAGGAGGAGAGAGGGAATGCCATCACTTCCACAAGCCTCTTTCCCTTGGGGTCTATAAGGTCATTTGGCCTGGTTCCTCTCCTTCACGCCTGGTCCCTGGCCCTGGTGTCTTCCTTATCTCTCTCATGTCAGCCATACCTGGGGGGGGGGGGGCAGGAGAATTAGCAAAGCTGGCACAGATAAGAAACACCCAGCATGTACTAAGCTTCTTGGAAAAATTAAACAGCATGACAAGGCGAGCCAGATAAGAGTCACTGGGGAGGCCGTCTGCCAGCTGAGGTAGAGCTAGGACAGCAGAAGCATGGGGCATGTTCTGTGTGATCTGAAAAGAAACTACCAGCTTCACTCCTCTCCCTTCCTTTGATCAGGTACAACCTGGAGAGGAGGGTACCTTGGCATCTATGCCCTATGTCCAGGAAGCAGGGCCATAAGGAAAGATCCATTTGGGCCAGAGCATCCTGAAGTCATTCACTTCACCCCCACCTCAGGGGCATCTGAGAGACACTGACTTCCACACCACCAGCCCTGCCAAGGGAAACTGTCTAATCTCCCTTACATTTAAGATCGAGACTAGGTCAGTTGCCACTGTCCCCAGATAACATCTAGAAGGCAGAAAGCCAATCTAGGTCAGCGTGTGGGCCTGCCAGAAGCTAATCTATTGCCAGGACAGCTGGGGTCTCTTCCTCTCAAGACCCAGGAAAGCAGCATGTCCCAAGAGAGCCAAGAGAGAGGTACTAGGAGAAAGCTTTAGGATTATGGTGAAGTGAAACATAACTCCCTGCATTAGTGAGGCATTTTTCACATTCACTATCTCACTTGAACCGCTTAATATTCCAGGAGGTATGCAAGGCAAAATACTTCTCCCCTTTTGACAGACAGGGAAACTGAGGCCTAGAAGGGAAACCTGAGGCTTCAATTAAGTGATTCGTCAAAGGTGAAAAATAGAGTTACTGACAGATCTGGAACCAGAACTTGGGTCTCTTGACCCTAACCTCCATTCACTGCTCTACAATGCCATGAGAGGAATGGGTAGAACCCAGACACAGAACCAACCTGAGCTATGGTTTAGGGCTGGAGTAGGAAGAAGGATTGGGAGCTCCAGATAAGTGGACCAGTAAAGTTCTCAGAAGAATTCTGGAGAGATCCAGCTATGATGGAAAGAATGGCTTTTCCTCTTTCCCCCTTTCCTTGAGGCCTTAACGGGGCTCTTGGCCTCCCTATTCTTCCCTCACCTGGGACTGTGGAGCGTCAAGAGTTAAAAATAATTGCAACATTAAACCGCAAGCTCAGCCCTCCTAGACCTGCAAGGGATGCTGCAGAGGGAGGGAGAGAAGGAGAGAGAGGGAATGAACAGTATCCTCTCCTCTCTTCTCCCTCCTGGCTAGGAAGGGAAGGGAAGGCATGAGGACTGAGGGATACAGGACCACAAATGATGGTCCGGTCAGGGGGAGACAGCAGCCCCCTCTGCCTGGCTCACCTGTAGCCGTTTGCTTTGGCGGTTACCGGGGAGGGGGATTGCCAGTGCCTAAGGACAGGTGCTGGAGAGAGACCCCTGCCCCTCCCTCCCCTGCCAAGGTGGGAGGCTCACCCAGAGGGCCCCTCGTAGCCCCCCACGGGCCGGGAGGGAGGGTTATCGCCTTGGCGGGCTGCTGGTAGACGATGTCCCCAGCAGACCGAGGGGGCAGCCAGAGGGCACAGGTGTCGGGGAGCGGGGGCGGGGGTCTCCCGGGCGTTCACATTGTCCTCATTTATCCCTAGACCATACCCTGTGGGGAAGCCCAACCCCGAAAGGCCAGTCGGTGCCAGAGGAGAGAGGCCCCGCCAGGCAGCAGCAGTAGCTGCCGAGGGCACCGGGGGTGGGCCGGCTCCCCATCAGCCTCCGTGCCTCCATCCTCCAAGGCGCCCGGCGCCCCGTGGAGAAGGAGGGTCCCGGGACCCTGACAGCGCTAGGCCCGCCTTACCTGTTACCTGGCGCCAGGTGGGCCGGGGCTAGGCTGCGCTGCACTCAGCTCGGTGTGGTTCATGGGCACCTACTGCCCACCGCCCGGCAGCTCTGGCGCGGCCGCCGCAGCCGTAGTCGCTGCAAGGTCGCACGGAGGGAGGCGGGGCCGCCCCGGCTGACGCGAAGCCGCCCCTGCCCTAGGCCCCGCCCATCCAGAGGGCCCACCCACAGATAGGCCCCGCCCCCGATGACTTCTGCCTCTCCGCTCCGCCCTCAAAGGCCGCCCCATACTGAGGCTCCTCCCAGAGTCGAGGCTCCGCCCCCAGTGACCTCTTCGGCTCCGCCCCGCCCCCACAGCCCGTCCCCTCCAGAGCCCCTCCTACCCAGTGACTCGCTCTGCCCCACGGCCACCCTGTCCTAAGAGTCCTGTCTCCTTCCTACCCCCACAGACCCCCCCCCAACTCCGCTAGGGGTGAGGCTCCGCCTTCCTCCGCCCCTCCCCCACCGTAACCTAGGCGTCACCCTAACGGCCTCGCCTCGACCTGGGACACGCCCCTACGCCGGCCATCGTCCCCGCCCCAGGGCACGCCCCTCAATTTTACGCCTGGCCACTGTCCCCCCCATTCTCCCTCCACCTCTGCCTCCTCCCCTCCCCACCCCAGCCGCAGAGGGCTCTGCCCCCGCCCATGACCTGCCCCATCACTTGGCCCATCCTACCCCCAGCCGCTCGAGCCCATCCTGAGACCCCGCCTCTAGAGAATAGACTCTGCCCCCACGACCTCTGTGGCTCCGCCCCTCACCTTGAGGGGGAGGGAGCCTGAGTCCCCGCTCCAGAACCTATCCAGTCCCGCGACCCCACCCCAGAGGTTGACACTGCCCCTGGACACGCCCCCAGCCAGCCTGCCCCTCCCCCGCTCCGGGATATTCCTCCAATCTCCTTTCTGCGTGCCCCTCAGGCCCTTCTCTGCTCGGCCTCCCCTCGGCCGCAGCTCCACCTCTCCCCATGGCTCGCGGTGCTCTGACACGCCCACAAGCCGGCCCTTGCGGCTCCTTCCGGCCAGGCGTCGCCCCGCCCCCTCTGCTGGGGGATCCTCTCCTGCACCTTGGCCCGCAGACTTCACCTCCTGCGTGCCCCCCCCTTCCTCCCCAGGAGATGGCCGGGTCCCACCTTGGGAGGATTCTAGGATGCTTCATGTGCTGACTGTGGACTTCCCCTCCTTTCCCATCCCCAGAATGGAAGCTCCTTGAGGGCAGGGACTGTTACATCTTTGTCTTGGTACCCCCGGTGCAGGCCCCGTGCGCTTGATAAATTCTTGTTGCTCGCTTGCTTGCACGTTGAGCATTTATTAAGTCCTTAGGTGGTCCAAGCATGTGCTAAGGATGTAGTCTTAGGAGCACAGATTCAGAGCTGGAAGGGGCCTTAGGCACCTTATAGCCCAGCTCATTTTAAAGGGGACAAAACTGAGGCCCAGAGGGTAAAAGGATCCTAGGATTCAGATGTGGAAAGGACTTCAAGAAACTGGGGCCCCCAGAGGGATCACAAGGTCTAGAGCTGCATGCCACCTTTCAGGTCTTCTTATCTAACCCTTTTATTTTATAGATGAGAAAACTGAGGCCCAGAGAGGTGACTCATAGGATTCTGCAGCCTGTCATCTTCATAACAGCTTTTAAATATGCCCTCTCCTGTTGCCAGCATCCTGGTGGCATCTCTCATTACTGAGCATTGGCTGAGTCGGTCTCCTGGCTCTCCCCACTGCAGTCCATCCTCCACTCAGCTCTCAAAGTGATCTTCCTTGTGATCACTGTGGCTCCTATTACCAGTAGGATTCAGTACAAAATCCTTTGGCTTCCAAAGCCCTTTATAACCCAACAATCCCCCAACTATTCCCCCCACACCCCTTTCCAGTCTTTTTACACTTTACACTCTGTCTTGTACTCTTCTGTCCAGTGACCTGGATGTTTCTGGAACAAGACACTTCATCTCTGGACTCTTAAGTGTTTTCGTTGGCTGTCCACTCACACCTGGAATTCTCTTCCTCCTCATCTGTGCCTCCTGGCTTCCCTCAAATCCTAGCTAAAACCCCACCTTTTACCGGAAACCTTTCCTAATCCCTCTTAATTCTAGTGCTTTTCCTCTGCTGATTATTTCAGATTTATCTTGTGTATATAACTTGTTGGTACACAGTTACCTACATGTTGTCTCTCTTATTAAGACAATGGAGCTTCTTGGGAGCAAGGATTGTCTTTTGTCTTTAGTTGTCCCTGACGAGTGGTCCTTGCAGCCTCTTCCTGAAGGCCTGTAATAAGTGATGTGGAAGCTGGTATCTCCCAAGGCAGCCCCTCACACTTGGGGACAGATCTTATTCGATTTGTTAGGTAATTCATTCTCATCTGGAGCCTGAATCTGCCTGTGCAATTTAAGCTTAGTTAGCATCTCATCCCTCTTTTACACTGTTGTTTAGTCGTGACCCCATTTGGGGTTTTCTTGGCAGAGATACTAGAGTGGCTTACCATTTCCTTCTCCAGTTCATTTTACAGATGAGGAAACTGAAGCAAGCAAGGTCAAGTGACTTGCCCAGGGTCACACAGCTAGTAAGTGAATTTGAACTCAAGGATGAGTCTTCCTGACTTCCAGCCTGGCGCTCTATGCACTATGGTGCCACCTAGCTGTTCCAGTAATGATAGCTAGTATTTATATAACACCTATGATGTGCCTGGCACTGTGCTACGTATGTTACAAATATTATCTCACTTGACACTAACAACAACCGTGGGAAGTTTGTTGTCATTAGCTTTATTTTACAGTTGAGGAAACTGAGGCAAACAGAGGTTAAATGACTTGTCCAGGGTCACACAGCTAGTGTCTGAGGCTTTATTTGAACCCAGGTCTTCCTGACTCCAGGGAGGGTGCTCTAACCACTGTACTGCCTCGATGCCTTGCTTTACCACTTACCTATACAATCTTGGGCAACTCACTTAACGTGTGTAGACCTAGTTCCTACTTTCTAAAAATGAGGGGGTTGCAGTAGATGGCTTCTAAGGTTCCTCCAGCTCTAAATCTAGATTCCTGTGAATAAGCCAAGTGCAAATCTGGACATCTGAGCCAGCTCCCTGTTTGCGCCTGTCAACACATGCTCTAAAAAAAAATCTGCTCATTCTAAGATTAGCCAAAAATCAAGGAGGCAGATAAAATTGTGCTGCATTTTGTAATTGCAAAGAACTGGAAACTAAGGGGATGCCCATCAACTGGGGGACAGTGGAACACGTGGTGGTACGTGGGGATAATGCAATGATCCTGCTGTACTCTGAGAAGTGAGAAAGGGGCTGATTTCAAAGGAACCTGAGACGACCTATAGGAACTGATGCAGAGGGAAGAGAGTAGAACCAGAACAATTTCAATAACAACCACCTTGCAAAGACAAGTCTGAAAGACTTAAGAGTTATGCTCAATGCAATAATCAACTGCGATTCCAGAGAACCAGTGATGAAGAGTGCTGACAGAGAGGTGGCAGAATTGGGGTGCAGAATGAGACACACCTTCTTTGATATGACCGGTATGGGGATTTGTTTTGCTTGACTCTGCATATTTGTTCCAAGGTTTTCTTTTGTTTTCTTTGAGGAGGGGGAGTGGGGGTGGGGGTGGGAAGGGCAGTGTGTGGATGGGAGAGAAAATAAATACTAATTGAAAAGAAAACTGTGCCCCCCTCCCCTTTTATGCCAAATTATCTGTGTCTCTGCATCCTGTTCCATGAGTGTGAATGTTGCCGAGTTAACTGTACTTGCCTAGCCTGAAGGCTGGGCTTAGACATGGACAATGCTAATTGTCCCAGACCAATCAAGAACGCTCTCATCTTTCTGAAAAGCTGAAAGGGGGATGAGGGGCAAACCATCTGCTTCTGAGACAGGCAGCAAATTCAAAGCTGAAGGATGTTAGAATGGGGAAGCTGTCTTCCTTCAGAGAGCTAGGCCCAGCCTATCATTTTGACAGAGATGATAACTAGGCCCAGAAAAGGGAAATGGTTTGTTCAAGGTCACTAGAGCTAGTTGGTGGAAAAGGTGGGGTTAGAGCCTTGGGCACCAGAGTCCTAATTCAAATTCAAAGCTCACTCTCTCTGTGCCACCTAGCTGCCCTGCCCTGCACATAGTGGTGCTTAACAAATGCCTGCTAACTTGATGACTTGCAGGTCTGACCTATTTGCTACAGGGAGTTCTGTTCTCAGGAGCATCTTCCCCTTTGAGGCCTGGCTAGAAACATCAGTGAATTCTGAGAGGGCAGCAAGGAGATCCCTCCCAGGGAAATGCGAGCCTTCCTCATTCAACACCTGTAATGGGGATGCTGTTTAAACTTTAAATGACTTCTCATCCAGGGGAGCTCTGGCCTGTACTTATATTTTCAGCTCCCTGGGAGTGAGTGAGGGCTTTGGGAGGAGCTCGATCACTGTCTGGCTGGTGAAAGCAAGATGTCATGGACATGGAAAGTCAAGTCCATCCTCTTGAATGGCTGGAGACTTGGAGGACCCTGCTGCTGTATGAGCACCAGCACAACCGAGCATCCCCTGGGCCAGGACTCCAGGGACCCAGTGGGGCTGTTTTTGGGCTCAAATGCTTGTCAGACCTTTCTGAATGCCAAAGAATAGAATCCCCAGGGGATTTTCTGATCCTGGGAAAGCCAGAGTTTATTTCTGGATGGAGGGTACCGCCCAGGCTGTAAAGTCTCACTCCACACTTTAGCCTGCCTGTGACCACCTCCCTTCTGAGTAAATCAAGGAAGGGCCTTGTTGCAGTCCATGACTGGCAACAAACCACGGATCTCTCGGGAATCTCAACCCAGTGCCGAGCATATCCTAAGCATGTAAGTGTTGTTTCAGTGCAGGTCTTCAGCCTGGGAATCTGGCTGGAGATCACAGCTGGTAGGGCATTTGGGGCCAAGCCCAGAAAGGAACCCTCTCCTCCAGTCAGCTAAATCTGGGCTCTGCTGACACATGCTATGGGCAAGAGAGTGGGAACAGAGAGAGAGGGAAGAGAGCATCAGCCAGATCCAAAGTCCTCTCTACTCTCCCCCGCCACACACACAAAAACCCAAACCCAACGATTTCTG